AACAAGCTTTTAGGAAGTGAAAGTATTTGTTGTTGGTTACATTGTGGTTACATCTTTGACGTGAAATCTGTTTGGCAGTTTTATTTAATTTTTATTTACTTTCGAACATGGACATCCCTCTAGAATAAGTATTATTAAAACTTGGTTTTTGAATTATCATAAAAAATACTTGCAAAAGGGTATTTATAGATCAGTTTTGAGACTATAGATTATAGACTAGACCAAAGTTTTCAAGTTTTTATATATATAAACGTTTTTATATGTATAAACGTTTTGCGTTTTGCGCATGTAGAATATATGCGATCAAAAAGTTAGGCGTGTGTGTTAATAATTGTCTAGTATATCCATTTCATATTTTCAGGCGTGAGTTTACGCTGGGGGAAGCACTGCAAATAGTTTATGAAGAAAACCTTGATGTTCACTAAATATTTATGGAGTCTCCTGATGCTAACCTGACCGACGAGGAATCTGGTGATAAAGATGGTGGCGGATTTCTGGATAATTAAAGCGGTCGACTGTGGATAATTAGAACTTTTATCAACGTACCTAAATTGAGCCAGTTTCAAATATCATCAGAAAAATATCCTGGATTGGAGGTGACTTTGAAAATATGAGCAGAGATTTTACTAAACCAGATTACTGCAAATATAGTGATTTGGACTTATTAGATATATTCGAGATGTTTGTTCATAAAGAAATAATTGAATTATTTGTGGAGGTATCAAGAAAATAGGCACTTTTCTGCAATAAATCGGATCCAAAAATTTCTAACGAGGAAATGAATGAAATGATTCTATGAGGAGATTTCGATTTCGCAAAATTTTAAAATAATTACACTGCGCTGACATGGTGATAAAATGTGGAAACTACGACCACTGATGAACTTTTTCAAACGCCGCTTTATTGACAACTGAATACCTGAACAGAAGTTGAATTATGATGAGGCTATTATTAAATACTTTGGAAATAATTCATATAAATAGTTTATTCGGAACAAGACCACCATTTGATCACCAAGAAGACCACCAGATTTGGGTATAAAATGTAGTCTCTGAACTTTGCTTGTAGTTATTTGGTGAATTTGATATAAATCAAGAAAAATACCCAAAAGCAAACACTACTTACGAAAGCGATTTTGGAAAATATGCTGCTCCTTTACCTGTTTGTATATAATTGTTTAATAAGTTTAAGGATAAAGTAAATAAGAACCCGTTCACATTTACTTCGACAATCTTTTCAAAAGCTTCAATTTGCCATTTTTACCATCTTTGCTTTGAAACAAAGGTATTATGATGGTACGGGAACTTGAGGACAAATAGAATTTCTACACGTTGCGAGTTACCCAAATAAGGAAGATTTTGAGATCGAAAAAACGAGAAGACATGATGTCTGTCATGAACAAAGAAGATGGAATAATATAAGTAAAGTAGATGGATAATAACAGTGACAGTAGCATCTATATGTTATGTCGTTAATCCAGTCACTCAAGTCAAACGCTATTCTTGAACCGAAAAAAATTATTTAGGCACCACAACCTTATTTGATTTCTGAATTTAATTGGTTTATGGAAGACAATGACTTCATGGAGCAGATATCCAGATAAAGGATTTCAATTCGTAGAAAAAAGTGGTGGCGGTCAATCTTTACTTGGCTACTAGATGCTGCTATAGTCAATGGTTGGTGAATATCCAAGAAGTGTAAACATCAAACACAATTGACTGAACTAGAATTCAGACGAGAGATTGCTCAAGTCTATCTGATAAAATATTATATGGCTTTAAAAGGTGCTGGAAGGCCTGCTGCTGCTAAATCAAGTTTATCTTTCGGTAGGGTTTCAGATATGATAGAACAGACCATTTTTTGACAAACCTTCTCAAAAATAAGATGCGTCGATGTGTCGGAAAAGGTTGTCGTCCAAGTATTCGGCCTATGTGTATTAAATGTGATGTAGGATTATGCCTCGAGTGTAACATAATGGTTCACGGCCCACAGCTCTAATTTCCTTGCGCAATCATTTTTTCTATACCATAGCCGGCTGGCGTTACCAAAAAGTGACGGCATTTTTAAAATTTTTTTAAAAAAGTACGTATACTTTGAGCAAAATACTTGTAGCATGTTTAAAAAAATGTTTTGACCAATATTTTTAATGTTTTGTTATTTCTTTGCAAAAATAATTTCGCCGTTGAAGGGTTAAAAAATATAAACATTTTATCTGTTAAGAGATAGAAAATCCTTCAAAATGACGTACTCTAATCTTTTTAACTTACTTTGTAATTAAGGAATATAGACGGATTGGGTTCTCCAAATTACAACAGGAGCGATTTTGACTACTCTAAATGCACTCATGGAAGTCATAGTTAACCTCTCTTCATTACATATAAGCCTGGAGAAGGGGTCGCACAGAAAGTGGACGACGTCAGGAAACAGGGTCAAAGATTACCGGGATCAAATCTGGAGGGATAGATAAAAATCACCCACAATTAGAAATAGTTCCAGATGCAATGCAAAATAAATATAATTTCGAAAAGCCATTTTTCGTTTTCCTTTCATAATGGGAGTCAAATAAAACGAACCTATCTTATGTTGACAGATCAATGCTGGTATACAGACCCGAACAAGGCCAAAAGCCAGGATTAAGTCTTAGTAAAAGCCTAGCTAATCACTCTACTATCTTTCAATCGGAAATTTATGCTATAGAGATGTGCCTGAATGATCAACTGCAGGAACATCTTCATAAAAATTATATCAAATGGCTAGGGGGTATGTAATAAAGTAAGTTTAGTCTAAGTGCCTGGACATACTGATACTAAATAGAATAAAATAGCTAACCTACTTGAATTATACACTTATATGAGTTCTAGATTACCGGGAAATATACAGCATAAAGAACTAATAGACTTTCCAGAAGAGCGTCAACTACAAAATATTTCATTTCAGAGTTGACAAAGTCAAAAAACATCGTCCGCGACCGGCAAAAACCTGTATCCAAAGACAACATGACTCTGGGAAAATATACCACGTTAAACATTTGGCAAAATGTAAACGGAAACATGTTAATAGGGAAATACTGTCAAAAACAAGCAAAAAGTAGCTTAGAATCATAACTCGGCATGCGCCTATTTAGCGATAGAGACTTAAGCAGCATACTCTAGGAAAGAATAGTCAACTATAGCTTGCATGACTGCGAGGCATTAGATCGCAGGCGGAAAACACTTTTTGGAGACTACCAAGTGACGCTAAAAACATATCGCACCCCTGGAAGAAACGTGACACAACTCCAAATTCTGAAAAATTGCATTTTATGTTTGCATTATTATCCAAATAGAGTAATCTTTAAGATACATAAGTCGAGACAACCAAACAATCGAGCTAAAAAGAAGAATAAACCTCGCTTGGGCTGCATTTGGAAAGATAAAGGATATTTTTAGGTCTAATATTCCAATGTGTCTGAAAAGAAAAGTATTTAATCAGTGTATTTTGCCAGCGATGACCTACGGCGCAGACACCCTAACACTCATAAAAACAACAGTGAGTAAACTACAAGTTACGGAAAGAGCATTGGAGAGAATAATGTTAGGGATTTCTCTACGTGATAGAATACTCAATGCTACTATACGCAAAAGATCAGGAGTAGCAGACGTTATTGAAAGGATAACAATACTAAAGAGTAACTGGGCAGGTCATGTAGCAAGATCAGTTGATGACCGGTAGACAAAAAGAATTTTGGAATGGAGACCTCGAATACAAGCTAACAGAAATAGAAGTCGACCCCCAACGAGATGGACAAATGACATAAAAAGAGTGACTACAAATTGGATGCAGATGGCGCAAAATCGGACTAAGTGGAAACGCATGCGAAAGGCCTATGTTTAGCAGTAGACGTTAGAGGCTAGTTGATGATGATGATGAGGGTAATCTTCAATCCCGAAAAGTTATCACAAGTTATCACAAGTTGAATTTTTATAATTCTCCCGAGATATCGCTAGTGTCGTTATGTGCTTTTCCGTTATTCACCCCATTTGAATCATGAACAGTCACACGTTGCAGTTGCGCCCAGGTAGCCTACGAATAAGGTCGTTCCACTGCTTAGGAAAACCGAATATTTCGAGTTGTGACGTTTTTTCTGTTGTATGCTGTGAGAATTAAAAGTGACAAATAAACACTTTTGGACATTTTTTTTGACACAATATGTGACTTTTCCTGTTAGGCTCTAATTTAATTTAGAGCTGTGATAGGAGTCATACATAAAAATATTATTATGTTTGATGTGGCAGTGATAAAGCACTATAATATAGACATTCTCTTTTTCTTCGCTTTTTTTTAAGAATGTGTTAAGTTTAGGTGTGTATTTTATAATTAAAAGTTATTATATGGATAAAATATGAACAATATAATAACCTCTAATACATAACGTTTAGATGGTTCTTTTCGTGTAGGTCTAAAGCATTCAGAAATTAGCTACGGACAGGCTACTAAATGGCCGATGAGAATATTCCTTTCTATAATGCCTTGGAAGTGATAGGAAATGACAATGACAATATACTGTGCTTTGAAATACACAGTAACATATCTATAAGTGTGCCAAATGGACACACCTTTTCCGGATAAGGGGTAAAATTGAAATCTGTATCAATTAAAAATGTTAAATGATGATTTCGACTTGTGTCACTTTTCTTGCAGGAGTGCAATATGTTATCCATCCTCTTGACCTGTACAAGCTGGTACAGAGTTCCAAAATCCTAGAATGGTTATCACGAATAAATGCAAAATGTACAACAAGCCGCACGATCTTTTTACAACAGACAGCTTCTATGAACCGAGTATAATCTAATGCTAGATACTTAAGCAGGACATATCTGTAAAGCGGATTTTATTGGTGTTTTTAAGATCAAAATTTATGGAGAAATGTAATTAGAGAAGTTGGCCACGCATACAGATTGTAACGAATATTCAAAAGTGCTATTTCTATCTCTAATTTTATTAATTTATTTAATATTTACCTCAATATCCTCTGGGTTTACCAAGCAAATAATTGACATATCAAAAGTCCATAGTCTGTAGATAGGAGCATAGTTATTGCTGTTTTCCCTTTCAGTCTTAAAGAGCGATTCTGAAAAATACAGTTTATTTATAATAATTAGATTTTAAAATGGAAGGAGAGATAGATTTTTATTATTTTTTTTATAAATCATTTACTTTTATCTTTGTTCTTTTTCTTTTATTTTTTGCTTTTTTATTGTTGGCAATATTAAGTTAAAAATTATTACCTAAATTAAATACCATCATCAAGTACGTCACTGCTTCAACTCGGACTCGCAAGGTGTGACCTAGACATCTAGTTCTATATTGTTTTAATTTGGTCACGATATCTTCTTTCAGTACTTTCATTTCAATACATTCATTACTTTCTTAATCTCTGCATTTGTTCTGCTTATATATTTACTTTGATTTGTTTTATTTGGTAATATGATAGTTCTGATGATATTTCTTTCTACTATTTGCCGGACAAACAGAACACACACAGAACAGAACGGACAAAAGACAAAACAGACATTTAATTTTTGAAATGTCTGTTTTGTCATTTGAATGTGATCTGTTTGATCTTAAATGTTTTTTAATTTTAATTTTTAAATTCAATGAATGAATCATATCAATCACAATAATTTCTTTTCTGTCCAAATAAAGACCAACAATTTTGGAGTAATTGCAGACCCACACTTACATCAAAAATAGGACATCCATCTTATTTTTTCATGTCACAGTGCTCTCTGTTCTAGATAAATAATTTTATTTGATAACACACATTTCAAAATATACCTCTTTAATAAATATAAATAACTTTTAAATAATTTAATATCACATTTAATTTTCAACAAACAATTTACATTAATACCTACATTTCTATCCTAGTTATTATTATATATTCTTTTCCTCAAGATCGATCTCTTTATTCGTTAAATAGTTGCAGTAAAACCAATGAACACCTGTCACCAGTTTACAGTGCATAACCATCCATTACCATAACAGGTTTTTAGCTATGCTTTCCCAAACATTTAATAATATTCCTTGTATCGGCAGCACTCAGTTTACCATGTACCGTTTACCTGAAGATGCATAGCAAATTATAGTATAGTACCGGTCGTACAAGAAGCATATCCATAAGAGTAACCCATTTAATCGTAAAGCTAAACCGAAGGTATAAAATAAAGATTACTCAAGTATATGCTCCAACAACGCACCATCCAGATGAGCAGATTGAAGAATTCTACGATATCTCAACGGCACTGAAAGGAACACCAACACACTACACGATTATATGCAGAGACTTTAACGCAAAGATCGATCTAAAGCAGAATGAACAGGAAACAGCACTAGGTAAATTTGGATCCAAAGGCAGAAATGAGTATGGACAAACACTACTAGAATTTCTATTACAACAAAATATATATCAGATGAATAGTTCCTTCTAGAAAAAAGACCACAGAAGATGGACGTGAAAAAGCCCAGATGGCAACATCAGAAATGAGATACATAATCAGTGATAAAAAACGATGTCACAGTCCTTAATAGCTTTACCCCAGGCAGCGATCATAGAATGGTAAAAGCCAAACTAAAATTAGACTTAATAACAGAAAGATCTAAAATGATTAGGAAAAAAGCCAACCCGATATAAAAATGAATGCACAAATAATGTAAATTTCCTAAACGAAAACGTAGAAGCTATTCGAAAGACTGGAGTAAAATGCTGCCCCAAAAGACACCAAGATGAAAAAATAACCATTGAAACAAAGCAACTAATGGAAACTAGAAACGAGAAATCAAAGGAAACGAAAGCGTTGACGAAGAAAAACTACGAAAAATAAATAAAGAAGTATCAAAAGCTATAAGGAAAAATTTAAGAAAAATTAAGAATGAAAAGGTCCACCAAACTATAGAGAATAAAAGTTTGAAAGTCCTGAGAAGACGGCTAAACAATGGAAAATGTGAAACACACAAACTAAAGAACAAAGGAGTCTTCATATCAAATAGAGAAGAACTACTACATATAGTTGAAGATTTCTATCAAGAACTATACACAAAGAAAATACCAAACGAATTTGAAAGCCGCCGCATCACGCAAAATCGTCAACCAGGGTTTAGAGTTCTCGCCAGAGATCACACAACAGACGAAAATACAAAAATATGAAAAACAATAAAGAACAAGGAGAAGATGGAGTCGTAATAGAAGCTATAAAGATGGGCGGACGTGCCCTTTCCAACCAAATAAAAATGTTGTTTAACCTTTGTCTAACAGATTGTTGCATACTAAAAACGTAGAACAGTGCAGTAACAATTTTAATACACAAGAAAGGAGACAAGGCGCACCTAGAAAACTATAGACCAATCAACTTATTGAACCACATCTATAAAATGATTACCCAAATAATTACGACAAAATAAAAAAAAATGGATTTCTATCAGCCCCAATAACAAGCTGGCTTCCGCTCAAAATTCGGGACAAACGATCACCTACAAACATTAAAAAGCTTAATAGAAAAATCGATAGAATATAACAGATCACTGGTACTTATCTTCGTAGACTTTCACAAAGCCGATACCGTGGAATAAGACAGCATTATAATTGCTCTGAAAGTAGTAGAATAGACTACCGGCTTACAAAGTTAGTACAAACATTGTATGAAAACGCCACAATGCATGTAAAACTATAATAATGCCACCAGAGAAATTCATTTAAAGCGAGGTGTGAGACAGGGCAGCACTCTCTCACCTAAATTATTTATAACAGTCCTCAAATACGCCTTTAAAATGCTAAAGTGGGAAAATAGAGGAATAAAAATAGACGGTGAAATGCTCAATCATCTGCGTTTTGCTAATGATACAGTACTTCTTAACGAAAATCTGCGTGAAGCACAACAAATGTTACAAGAATTAAAAAACGTATCTTCAACAATAGGTCAAAAAATTTATGACAAATTTGGTTCCCAGAGAATACCTGAACCATTCAAAATCAAGTGGCAGAATTGACAGAACGGTACAAATAACCTGGTTATGAAATCAGAATAAGCAAGAATAATCCGACCTGTAAATTTCAACGACGAATAACACTTACTTGGGCAACGTATGGTTCACTAAGAGACATCTTTAAGAGCAACATCCCGATAGCTATGAAACGGAAGACATTTTACCAATGCGTTCTTCCTATTATGGCATACGGAGCAGAAACTGTCACTCTCACAAAAGCAACAGCACTAAAATGCGAGTGGCACAAAGGCGCATGGAAAGATCGATTCTCGGCGTTACAAAAAAAGACAAAATAAGGAACCAAGAAAAAAAAAACAGGTATCACTGATGTCGTCGAACGTATAGCCGAGCTAAAATGGAATTGAGCAGGTCACATAGCGAGAGTAAAAGATAGATCAGAAAACTAATTGACTGGCACCCAAGAGAAGACAAACGCAACAGAGGATTACCACCAACACGCTGGATGGACGACAATAAACGAATATCCAAGAACTGGTAACAAGACACACAGAACCGTAAAGAGTGGCAAAAATGGGAGAGACCTATCTCCAGCAGTGGACAGCAGAGGTTGTATGATAATTATGATAACCGGTCGTTGGTGGTAGAATAAATTGATTGTGAGTAAGTCCTATTCTTATTTCTTTTTATCTGTTTATTTGTTTCTCTGCATAGACATTCCTTTTTGTAGATGGAGGAGGAAAAAAGGAATGTAGGAGGAAATCTACAAAAAGAAAGAACAAAGATGATAAACAGTTGCAAACGCATAGTTTGGAATTCACCAAATCATCCAGAAACATACATAAAAAATATAGCCGAAACTTTACAGAGTAATAATCCCAACCTCTAAGTATCGACGATCACAATAAATTAATATCAGACTCAGTTAGAAATGCACAACTCAAATTCTGCAAACAAAAGACGCCAAAAGTGAAAAGATTAGCAAAAATACAAAAGCTCTCATGGAAATACGACGAAACCTAAGCGAGAACGAAAAGGGAAACATAGAAGAATATAAAAAACTAAATAAAAGAATTTCAGCGGAAATTAGAAAAGATGTAAGAAGATATAATACTAATGTAATTACTCAAACAGTAAAAGAGAACAAAAGTTTAAAGATAATGAAAAGAAAACTCACACAAAGTAAAAAAGAAATATACAAGCTGAGAGAAAACGACGGAAAGGCAACAACAGATAAGTGTCAGAATTAAGAGCAGCTTTAAAGGAAATGAAGAACTATCGATCGCCTGGTGATGATGGACTTGTTATCGAGGCAATAAAAGCAGGAGGAGAAATTTTATTAAAATCAGTAAGCGAACTGTTTAATAAATGCTTACATGCGCGTACGATTTCAAAAGACTGGAACAATGCAGTAATAGTCTTGTTACACAAAAACAAAACAGGCGATATTACTAAATTAGAAAATTATAGACCCATCAGCCTCTTGACACATATGTACAAACTCTTTATGAAAATCTTAACAAAGAGGCTAACACCTAAACTTGATTTCTATCAGCTCAAAGAACAGGCAGGCTTCAGGGCAGGATATGGCACAAATGACCATTTGCATACCATAAAGATCTTAATAGAAAAGTGCATCGAGTACAACATACCACTGGTTCTTGCATTTGTCGACTACGAGAAGGCTTTTGATTCTGTAGAGTTTGAAACAATACTGGAAGCCCTAAATCAAAGCCGAATAGATTACAGGTACACGACACTAATCAAAAACATCTACGAGAACGCTACATCAAGTATACGACTACACGAAGACACAGAAAAATTGGTCGAGGAGTTAGAAAAGGCCCAGAAACTATAAAAGAAGCCGAGGACGACCACCGACTAGATGTACCGATGATATAAAACGTGTAGCGGGAAACTGGCTACAAGCGGCCCAGTGTAAAGAACACTGGAAAGAACTGAGGGAGGCCTATGTCCAACAGTGGACGCGATTGGCTGATTGATGATGATAGACATTCCACTAAAGACACCCAAATTAGAATTAACCTTCCACATAATATCAATCCGCCAATAAACAAGTAGAATTGCTTATAAAGAGGTAGAAGAACAAGGAGGAGGAAAATACACACT